TGTATGTGTCACAACATCATAATGTACAGTATGAAATATGATTACATTTAACAGTTATCAAATTATTAGTGTCTTTAAAGAAGTTTAAGTGTTGCGTTAGTGTTGCAGCAAAGAAAATATAAAAATGCGGAAAATGAGCTGAACAGATAAATATACAATATCGATTAATTAAAAAATATCTAATATCGGCAAATACCCAAGATGGCACCGATATATCATACATTCCTAACTGTAACTGTAGGTCTAAATTAGAGATTTATATATTTGAATTGCATGTAAAATTTCCACTTATTTGGATTACAGTTTTAACATAAAGTAATAAACTTATTGGAATGCATATCTGTCAGTCATGCATAAAATAAACACATAAGATTTATGTAACAGCACTAATAAACTGACTGTTTTAAAGACACAATAATCAGGTTTATACTGTATATTTTTCATCAATAAATCGAATGTCTTTCAATCTCAAACATTTGAACTAACTAAATAGTTGCTTGTTCTAAAGCTAGCCATGTTTTAACAATGTTAACCATACATTTTAACTGACTAAATGTAATAGTTTTTGCAATGAACAGGTTTATGGCGATTCTAAGCAATTTGTATGAATGCATTTTAATAATATAATTGTTTAGAAAAAATCAAATAGATGGAAATTTTGGTCAAATACTGCACATTTTGGCAAATGTTGTAGGCCATCCAGGTATTTCATGCAAACATTGGCATATTATGCACAGTATACATACTGTATATTGCTGAAACAGTATGAGAGAAGTGTGCTATTCTGAACATAGTCACAATCTGAGAACCTGACAACTGCACGGAACAGATTTCCCCGCATACTATGGCATTGAGCTGTTCTGTGCTTGAGTGCCATAGATGGCCAGAGAAGTGAAACAGTAAAGCACTTTATCATAGAATGTTTGATGTGTGAATGAGAAGCTATGGAAAGAAAATGCTATGTGTAACGGAATGAATCAACTGAGAACAAAAACACGTTTGCTTAAACGTTCTGAGTTTTGCAGTATTTAATTAAAATGTGTCAGATTTTGTACAGCTGACCACTGTGGTGTTTTTCTCTTTAGCTTTGATATAGCTATATTTGGGTCATTATTCAACTCGATACTTCATAATAACTCAGTTTCTTTTTAAATAGTTGAATAGTCAGAATTATTTAATAAAAATGATAGTTATATGTTAAAACAATATTTGTAAGTCAAAAACTAAAATAAAGCAAAAAATAAAATAGATGTTGCCTTGGATAACAAATAAAGCTAAATAGAAATCTAAAAAAAAACAGTATGTATGACAAAATGCATTATTACTGATGAATTTTAGGTTGAAGTTGCAAAAATTTCTAATAATGAGTCTAATCTATTAAGGCCTAAAAGTCCTTAATTTACTTTTTTTATTATTCTAATAATATACATGCAATATTTAGATACAAACAAATTTAAAGTGGCTGATATTCTGATTTTCTAAAAGGTTTGTTTGCATTACACTCTGAAAAAAGTCATCCAAAAATGTAAGTTCAGTATCCTGTTGATTATAATCAGTCATTGGAACTGAGACTGATTA